CAAATCATGTGAGCCGATAGGCACGCGCATCAGGTCCTTCGCGGCAGTCATGAGTTCAAGGACGCAGGGCAATCGCAAATTGCATTGGCCTTGTAGTTCAAGGCTAAGGAGCTGACATGTTGGTGTCCGGGAATGCCAGGGCGCATGAACATACGTATATCTTACGCATGCCAAATTGGGGAAGGTTCTCCTCAAACTCCTTCGTGCCAATGCGCCGCGACTCAAAACCGAAGTTGATGAAAATGCCGAAGTTTGAAGCGTGAGCGGGGCTTGTAAGGTCAATCATGATTTTTGCGATATTCTCATTTTTCCGGCGAAGTCTCCGAATCTTGCCCCAGTCCTTTTGGACCGAGCCAGCAAATCGGAGAGCACAATTGAGAAAAATGAAAGTGTCGCTGTTTCCCCGAGGGGGAGGTAATGCTTCCGTGCAGCGAACCATCGTGCGACACGTGCTTGACAACGCGCGATGCTTTTTTAAACATGCCAAGAGTGTGCAGGTTCCTGTTCTTGTCGACGCACCGTTGTGAAGATGTCGGGGCCCTGATAGTCGCAAGGACAGGCAACGAATCTGATATAGTGTTCATTTAGCCACGAAATATCGATCCTGTGTTTGCGCCAGATATTTCGCACGTTTGGGCTATCTCCCGCCATGATGCTTCGGCAGGCAGCTTCATTGTCTTCTATCGCGGGTCGGGCGCGGATCGGAACCTGTGTCGCTGCCGACGGCTTTGCGGCGTCTCAGTTCTTTGGATATCCAAGTGCTACAATTTAGGCCTCTGACTCCTGCGTGATACCGAAAGTCAAGAAGACGATGTTCTTTAAGCAGTCGCCGCAAAGGAAGGTGAGCGGTTCAACAAAACGCCCCCCCCCCCCCCCACATTGTTGCTATCTGTTCCCTTTCCCCGGGATGACGATGAAGAGCTCGAGGCTCGGCCCCAACCCCCTGTGGAGGAGGACGAGGTGGACCCACCCGGCCCCGAGAGATCGCTCGCGGACTGCAACAGGGCGGCGACAGGAACCTCCAGCTCCTCGACGATCTGATCGGCGGGACCAGCCAGAGACGAGATGATGTCCGCGATCCATGACGGACGAAGAGGGCCTTGACGACCGACGGACAGGAATCCGCCGGACAGGCGCGGGCGTTCTGATCCACCCAGAGATCGCAACCCTCCAATTGATCAGCAAGGGCTGGGCAGATACGGGCGCACGCCCGATGACTGGTGAAGCAGTGCGGCAATATCGCCAAGCTTCACTTAGCTCCATGCCTGACATCACACTGCGCCTCTGGACCACGCACGTCCCCATGTATGGGTAGCGTCACGATCTATTACCACCCCAGAACGCCGAAATCTGGTATCAGAATGTCCCGACCTACATCCCGACGCCATCATTGATAGAGAGAACGGGGTTAAAGTATGGCGATCTTTCCGCATCCGTGCCGCCGGGTGATTCCTCAATGACCGTTGCTGCGACGGTGCTCGTTTCTTTCCTGAAGCGCAGCCTGCAGCCGAAAACCGTGAACTTTAGTGTTCTCGTTTTTTGGCCTCTCGTGCAGACTGCAGTGAGTGGGGTGTGTTTTGGGATAGACCACTTTGGGCTTGGTGCCGGAAATGCTGGCTGTAGGAGGTACCCGCCTTTGGCGACGTGTTCTTCTTGAGTTGCTTGACATTTTTTACACCATCCAATCAACTCCTATTTCAACCACAACCCCAACCTGGTCACCAGCTCAGCAATCCTTCCACTATCTTGTTTTTGTGGATAATTTTGAGGTGGTCTGATTGTCGGGGTCTTCAAGTTCTACCCCAGACCACATGAGCAATCCAGAGAGCTCTCCAACCCTGAAATGGTTTCCTTGGAACATGAATTAAAATCTTTTCCTGCGACCCGTGGGAACAACCTTCAGGAAAATTCCGGCTTCCTCACATTGCCAGGAATTTGGGGATCCAGCTTTCCTTGTTTGCTTCCAGACACCCGAAAGGAACTGACTGCGGGGCAGCCCCAAACATAATGTAATAAACGTGTGATTCTTTACTCGATTTTGGGTAGACCACATTAATACCAGGTTTCGATTGTGGTTCAACTGACCTTGAGGCCAATTTCCCTTCGCTCGATGCAGGTGGTGGACGACCCGGCGCAGAAGCTGCAACTGGGACGCAGATGCCGTCATGACCGTCATGAATGGGGTGGGAAGGGGCCAAGGAGCTTGCAAAATGTCCCTCGGTTCTTTTGTCCTCGACTCCTTGGCAGGAGCCAGCCGTATGAGGTTGTGGCAAAGAGTCATATACCATTCCACGACGAGTCATTTGCCGATCACTGCGAATCTTTTGGTGGAGCTCCTTCGAGCGAACGGCTTTCTCGTTCCTATTTTTTGAGGTGTGTCCTGGTCAAAATACCCTTTGTCGCGAGACGGTCAGGCTTTGGACAATTGTAGTAGCCATGACCATGGCGTATGTTGAACCGCAACACAAGAGGATACTACACTAGCAGGTATCCTATGCCCTTGACGTCCACCAAGAAGTACGACGTGGAGGCTGGGGTGTTCTGACTGGGCAATCTTCAGCTGCTAGATTCCTTCTGGAGGCCCTTGCTGCCGGCACAGAAACCATTAAGTTTGGTGGAATACAGAAGCGCGCCTCATTCACATTGCACACACACACACACACCCACACACGCGCCAACACGATATCATGTTGTCTACAGGCCCAACATTTGGTGCCAACAAACCTGGGCAGCAAGTATGATCTGCCCTGGCTTAGGAAAAGGCAACACCTCAAAAACAAAAAGAGCAACGCGACACGCATGAACCGCGAAACACTTCACCCCCGCCTGTCTGAATGGGCGAAACACACAACACACGTACTTCGCAACAGCAAGCCAAATCAGTTTGGGCTTGCGAACAATCAGAGGCTGCGTGCCAGCCACATTTCTGATGCCATGTTTGCGGTCCTCTTGTTGCAATGCTTACATTTTGAGGAGTCCTCAAACGTGGGAACCCTCTTCAAGCCATTTGCCTCGGGTCATTTCGAGGATGTCACTTCAATGGACACAGAATCGTCCTTTTTGAGGGGCACCTCGTATTGGTTTGGCCATCGATTGAATTTTGGGCCAGGTGGGCCGGATCCGGAGCTCCCTGGTCTTTGCTCCCAAGGGTCTGGACCTCTTCGTGTCAGGCGGGGCCAGCGCCGGCATTTTCGTTTGGGAGATTGGTACGGAAGAAAGGAGCAAAAACCGAACACAGAAATCTGCCCCACCGTGCAAGCCAGATGCACCGTGGATTTGCGGCGTTTGGAGTGAGGGAATGGCTCTCGGAGCACCTCGAGTTGACCGCCCACCAGTTGGTCGGGTGATTTACCCCACTGTTTCTGGGCCTTTTTTGCCATCCCAACTGGTGCGAAGCGGATTTTGTCCATCTACGGTGGCTTGCAGGCGGCTGTCAAGGAGGCTCCAAAATCGAGAAGCCCTCATTCTGCACCGAGCGAAACACTGCCCCAGACATATTTGATTTCTTGGGTGCCAGTCAATGAATTCAGGTCAAAACCATCCATGGGGCTCAGGGAACAGGTCTGAGAGGAAGCGCGTGACAATGGGAGGAAAAGCGAAAAGCAAAAGTCGCCTCGAGATTCTGATAGAAGTCAGACCACCTGTGCCTCGCTTTGGGAAGGGCTGAGAGTTTGAGCAAAGTGTCCCTGCATGCGAGCCGAGAGAAGCCGCAGATTCACACGGCACATTGCTTAATATGATTCCAGAGGTCCAGATCTTAAGGTTTGGTCCATGTGATGTAGTGCGCATGCGGCCCTGAAAGCTCTAAACTATTTCACCCCCAAGTGGCGCCCAATATCAAAACCGGATGAGCTCCCATGTATTCGCGCACAATTACAATCCTTGCGGCAATATGGTTGGTTTTGAGCTGCAGTTTGTTTGTTCTCGCTAGGACGCATTTGGTACCTAAACTTGGGCACTTAGCGGTCAGATGCCATCACAAAATAGGAGGATTCGTCACATCCAAACCAGTGGCTTCGGTCGCTGGCTCTTGAGGCGATCAGCTGCTGAGGGGTGCTGCACTGAATGCGGTCCTCATTGCGGAGGCGAAGCTGAGATAGCCCATGCCGTTGAGTGGCTTTTGATCAAGAGAACAAGCGATGATCCTGGTGCCAAAACCAATCTGTTCAAGCCAGTTTCAAGGTGAAGTCGAAGTGCCAATGAAGACAAAACACCTGGCCGACGAACATGCTCCCCTCTCCGACCGAGAGGCGATGCGCAATGACATGCGCACTTCTGTCTCACTTCCTGAGGCCGCATGAGATCTCCGCCCCAAAAGCAGAGAACTCCCCATGCAGAGGGCGATTGGTACGGCTTGACTCGGTGGCTAGGAGAGCATCGTAATTGCATCCCTGAGTCCCACTAATGTGCTGTGGCTTTGTTGGTCTTTTGTGGCTATGAGTTTCAATAGGGCCTGAACCGTGCTTGGTGGACATAACACTTCATCTAAATGCCAATTAAATCACAGACCCAACAATCACTTGCCGCTAGATCATGGCTCAAAGCCATGGCGAGTGCAACCTCCCCCAGCGTACCCATGGCGCGCGTACCTGTCCCGATGGTGGACCGGTCGAGCGACCGGTCGAGCCGGTCGAGCGAGCGGCCGAACGACCGGCCGAACAACCTGCCGAGCGACCTGCCACGCGCGGGCGCTCAGGCAAAGTTTGGTTTCCAGTGAGGGCAGCTGGAAACACAAAGTCTGAAACCTCCAGTGCTGCTTATCATCATTTGCGCCTGGCAATGCACGTGACACGGGCATCCTCTCTCCATTCTGTGTTTGCCATCTGAGGCTCAAGGGGGGCTTAGTTGGAACTCTGCGCTTCAGCCAGGAGTTTTATTGACCTGGAACATTCGGCTGACGGTCAAATCCCACTAGAAATCTGGAAATCTCAGGACTTTGTCCGAGTGCTTCATGGCTTCTTGCTTGTCAGACTCCCAGGACTTTTGTCTGGTTTTTCTAGGTGCGCTTTTCGCGCCATGGCTGAGTCATTGTCGGGCGACGGCAAGGCAGGGTGTTTGGCGTGAGCTGTGAAGGCGCAGGGACTGGCGCCCGCGCTTGCCGCGGTGCCCAGCATGCTGAGCCGGATTTGGGTGGTTCCTAAAGTGGGGCACCCCTTCGGGAAAATTTGAATCGAAAGAGAAGCGACAAGCAAACCTACCATGTGGAGGAGTTCCTGATTTTCAGTGCTCCAGTTGGAGCCAATCGTTGGTATCAACGGAAGTTGATTAAAGATTGGAAGGAACCTCCGTGGTGCGACAACAAATTCAAAGCTAGCTCTCTGAGACACATGACAAGTAGCTAGATAGATAGATAGATAGGTAGATAGATGGACAGATAGACAGACATAGACAGACAGACAGATAGGCAGATAGATAGGTAAGATAGATAGGCAATCAAACAAAAAAGATAGGTAAGGCAGGGAGAATGGATGCATAGATGCATGGATGCATGGATGCATGGATGCATGGATGCATGGATGCATGGATGCATGGATGCATGGATGCATGGATGCATGGATGCATGGATGGATGCATGGATGCATGGATGGATGGGTGGATGGGTGGGTGGGTGGGTGGATGGGTGGATGGGTGGATGGGTGGATGGGTGCGTGGGTGCATGGCTGCATGGGTGCATGGGTGGATAGCTAGCTAGCTAGGTAGATTGGATAGATAAGATGGTAGATTGGTAGAGAGAGATAGATAGCAACGAGAGAGAGAGAGAGAGAAACAAGCTAGACACACACACGCGTAGATAGACAGGTAGATAGATTGTGTACATAGATAGAGTGGACAAACAGATAGACAGATAGACTGATAGAAATCTAGTAGCTAGATTGATAAATAGATGGATAGGAATATAGATTGAATAGATAGAGGAATCTAGATTGGCTGGATATAGGGTGGATAAAAGGGCAGACGGACACATAGAAATCGGGAAAGTGGAAAACAGATACGTAGATAATTAGATAGATGGGTAGATAGAGAGCTAGATGGATACTGGGAGAGACAAGATTGATAGATGGATAGCCAGAGGGTTAAGTAGATAGTTCAATAGATAGATAGATAGATGGATAGATAGATAGACAGACGGATAGATAGATAGAGATAGAGAATTAGATAGGTAGGCATATCGATAGATAGAGAAACAGATGTAGTGTGATACAAAGATGGATGAATGGAGAGAGAGAGAGAGAGAGAGAGAGATTCGCAGTGTCAAAAAACGATAGAAACACAGCCAGAGAGATAAATCATGATTAGATGCGCGCCCACCAGAGAACGACCGCAAGCCCGCCGCGCTCTGTGCGCACGCCCGCCCGCCCGCCCACCCGCGTTGCGTGCTTCGACAGTTCGGTAGCCAGATTTAAGTGAGCTTATCAAAGGAAGTTTAGAAGGAACCTCCGTGGACGGCTGAGACAAAGGATGAGAGAAGAAGAAGCACGCGCGAAGAAACTCGCGTGTGGCGGGGGAGCAAAAATGTCAATCAAGTGCACGTCGGGAAAGGAAGAAGAAGCGCCGGCAAACAGCAATAAGAAAAAAATGAAGAAAATAAAGAAAAGACAAGTATAGTTTTATGACTTTGTAACTTCCGCCCACCGGCTTCGCCAGCTCTGCTGGTGCCAAGATACAAGGCGGGTCAGGCTTCCTTTTTATGTTTGGTGCTTTTTCCGCCTGTCGATGTGAAGAGCAGATTCAGGCAATTTGCAGGGCAGTATCAGTCTGTGAAAACATTGGCTCAACCTAGAATACGATTTGGATGCGGCTTTTGTGGATCTACCCCTGTAGCATTTCAAAGAATATCAAGGATGAACTTCGGGAAGAAAACATGAAACAAGGTTTCCAAGTTGTATTCTGGATGGATGAGAAGCATTTGGCATTGGTCGGGAATGACTGGCCAGCGAGAATGCGTGTGTCGATTGCTGGTGCGGCTCCGGCGCCCTTGAGGCCATCGCTGTGGTGGGCGGGGGCCTCGCGGGGGTGGTGGCGGCTGAGACCTTGGCAAAGGCCGGGCGGCAGGCGCGCAGTGCGTCGGGGCTCGGTTGCCGTGGCTCCCAACATTTTCCTTGAGCATCCCAGAAAGGATGCCAACCCGAAAACCGCATGCATCCAGGTCAATCCAGGGCCAGGGGGTTCTGGTGGTTTTTGAGCGAATCTGAAGTGAGTTTTCTTTTAAAGTGATATTTAAAGGGGAAATATAGGCAGCCCTGTTGGGTGGGGGTTGTTTGGGGCTCCGTAGCCATTTTGGCTCAAGACACGACCTTCTGTGAGGAATACCAAACTGGTTCAGAACTTCTGTTCATGCTTCGTACAGTCCTCAGTGCTTCGGATCGAAGACGGCAACTGTCGAAAGACCGCACCCTTGAAAAGCCGACCTATCTATCAGTAGGAGCTCTAGAGCGATTCCAGAGGGTAGCGAAAGGTGTAGTGATCAACATCACATGCTCAGACAGTGAGACCTTTACAGCAAAGGATGATGATGAAGCGAAAATATACGCCATGAGAATTGAACTCTCAGCAGATGATATGACATCTCTAAAGGCGTTGTTTGGAGCTCCGGTCAATGAGAAGCATGTTTGGGTCGACAGTCTCAACAGAAGATCAGAAGAAGAGTCGTGCCGACGTGAAGGAGGATGGTTGTGCCTAAGGATGAGGACACTGTGGGCAAGTCTTGAGAGATTGACTACGATGACAACCACTGATGACAATGACATCAAGATCAAAGTCACGAGCCAAATCGGTGGAAACATGTCAGTACTCTTGAACGACACTGTGTTCTTAGGACACGTCCAGGTTGGCATCTATAGCGCTCACCAGACGTTGAGACCCATTTCATTGGTCAATGTGATCACTCCTCAGAGCTACTCGTAGTATTCAGACACGTTCGATACTGAGTGTTCTATTTTGGGAGTACATGATGGCTCTATCATGACCAGACTGTTCGGATCTATCATGTCCGATGATGACAAGTGGAGAATTGAAAGCAGAGGCGGCTTGGTCTGTGCAAATCAGTATTGTGATGCGCATTACAAGTTGCACAATGGATATATTGTGCGAAAAGACAGAACGACGCAACACAATGTTGGCACAATTACATTGCGCAACAAAGAAGTACTCTGGTATGCTGTTTCGGAAGATGGAGGACCTCCAATGGGATTTGAACAAGCTGTGAGAGAAAACGATCTGTATCAGCAGAGCTCTCAAGGAGTAGCCAACGAGCTATACCCAGACGTGGATCCAAATACCATGCTCAGCGTAGAACCGCCTCTAGTAGCATGGTTGAAATCAAAGAGATTGGTCTTCAGTCCGTGCATTCTCACAGCAATGTATCAGATGCTATCATTCCCTAATGAGATCAAGTTTGAAGAGGACGAAGCTGTTATAGACACAGTTCCATGGGGCGACAGCATCTTGAATGAACGCGCTCCAACTCCAGATGTTCCATCTCCAGTTCAGTCGTCTGTAGAGGGATTGCCTGAAGGAGCATTTTGTGAGGATTGCAAGCAATTGTGTTCAACTACAGATGTGCTCACGGGTACGTGGACAGGTAGTATCCAGTATGTGTGGGACTTGATCTACGCTTGCGTCAGTTTGTATGGACATTTTGGCCACATCGCGCATTTGATCACAAGCTACGTAAAGTTGAGTTTTGAGCACATGTGTCACTCAGACGTCCTGGCACTGTTTTCTCGACTACCACTCCTCAAGAAGTTTCGCTTCGAGAAATCAGCGTGTCTTTGTCTTTCAGCCGTTGTGCTGGCTAAAGTCATGATAGATACATGTCCAGTAGGCCACGCAGAGCGTCTCAAACACTTCGCACAATCACTGGCCGACGTTCGAAGTCCGCTCTACGGGACTTTTCCATCTTACGTACAATTTTTACATGGCCAACGAGTTGTGGCGAAAAAAGCTCTTCTCTGATTCATGCAAGCAATTGATTCGGTGGCCAACCATGAAGTGATTTTGAACTGTGTACAGCTCGGGACGCTGTTTTGGACAGATGACTCAATTACGGGACTCCTGTTTGTTCATTGGACTACATTAGTCAACTTCATGAGGCGTTTGTCAGAAATGGCTGCAATTGAGAAAGAACCTTTTCTGCTAGAAGGCGAAAAAGTGAACATGGGAACTATGTTTTATTCATTCCTGTCATCCGTCCGCACTCGATCAGTGTATATGGCTAGCGATTCCTTTTCTACATTGCGTGAATATGCACCTTCGGAGCCGCTGATTGTGAAAACAGGCATTCTTCTGGGTGATCTGCTGAAGTTTGAACAGCTTGATGATGAGATCATAGAGGAGTTGGTTTATGTGATCAAACCTGGTCTGCAATCAGGAACTCGGCGGCTTAGGCCACATGTAGACAAATCTCAGGACTTCGCATTGTCAGTATTGTCATTGGTCAAGGCAATCAAAGCTCAACGTGGACAATTCAGATTGAAGAACCTGTTCGTGTCGTCAGACTTCAACATGGCTTCAATTCCAGCATCCAGTACGAGTACTATTCAGCCGTACATTCCCAAGACAGTTGCCACCAGCGGGATTCCATACCAAAGGGAGGGAGATCCATTGAGCAGTGAGTCTAGTGCTAACACGAGCGATGCGGTGCGGAGTGGGATCCACGTTCTGCCTTTCTTCACATGCGGTTTCGATAGTGCGCACCGATTGCTTGTTGAGCTAGGCGTCCAGAGTTCAGACTTCCCACAGGACGTCGCCACAGCCAAAGCCCTGCAATGCACAAGTCAGCTTGCGCCGCATGAGGGCCCGAGAGCAGGAGTCGCCCAAGCTCATCCAGAGATCCTTGAAGCCCTCAAGCAATTGTTGATTGAGCATGGAGTTGCAACCCCTCCTGAGTGCCTCTCCCGGCAGCATCACAGCTGCCTGCAAAGGATCCAACCCCTGGAAGGACATTAAAGCAATCGCTAACCAGCTGCGACCACCCTTCCAACTGGTGCTAGCCGACGAGCTAAAGCATGCCATCAGTGTCAAAGCCACAAGCCTGACCAAGGTCGGCAATCGCACCAAGAAAGGAAAGGAGGGAAGAACATCCACCCCACCTGCAGCCCCGTTCGCAGTGCAGCCAAGCGACATCATGCTTGCAGAGGGAGCCTTCGTTGATGGCGAGCAGAAAGCACTCAATCAAGTCGCATTGCCGACCATAGGCCCTTTCGCACGAGGAGTCATTATTGCCACCCGTCAGGAGGCCTTGCCATAGCTTAGCAGCCAGCAGAAGCAGATTTCTGCTGACGCCCCAGGCCTGCTAGTCATTGATTGCTTCGACAGTGACAGTGAGGCAGGCCAGCACAAAGGTCAAGTGATCCGGCTCCCAGCGTGGTGTAAGAGCACCAAAGAGCCTCTGCTCTTTAATGCGGCGCTTTTTCAGTTAGGTGCAAAGCCAGCCACACGTGCCCAGGCAACCACGCCAATTGAAGTATCCGCGGCCGATGTCAGCCGTGAGGGTGACAATCTACCGAGATCTGCACCCAGATCAGTGGATGATCATCAGTGCAAAGCCAGTGCGCTTCCTCCTTGACCAGCTTGCACCGCTGCAAACGTGTGAGTGCAATGCAAGACCAATGCATCAAATGGCATGACCCCCAATCCCAGCCACTGTATGACGTGTGGGATCGCCAAATCATGCTGGCGACGTACCTCACAAGGCAAGCCAAGACACTGCAGAGATCTTCGCGGTCATGTTTCGGGTAACAACCCCCACGGCACAACATTTGCTGGCCCTCTCCGGCTCTAACGGGATTTTCGTTGAACCAAGGACAGCCGATGGCCGGAGACCTGATGAAGCATTCCAGGTAGTGTGGCTGCCGAAGCACACCGTGCAACAAGCAATTGCCATCAAGGCCACGTTCGTTGACGCTATAGGCATAGTGCGGGTAGGGGATCGTGTCGGACTCCGCACTGCGGCCGCCAATGCACAGGCCCTGCAGGCCAAGACCCGACCCAATACACCGCTGCTGATGGGCTCGACCAAGCAACGGTTCATCGCTGGCCCTTTTCCATTTGGATCCCAGCGAACCGCCATTCGCAAGTCCCTGCTTGCACATTCATGGGAGGTCCAACCGTTGCAACCAAATGGCACTACGCCAGATGGCAGTGGCATCATGTGGAAGTTGCAGGCCTCCACCGAGCCAAGCAATTTCACGTTGCAAATGCAGCACGGTGATGTTATCATCATTCCAGATGCTCCAGCCAAGCCAGTTCCAACCATGGCCCAACAGGTGCTTGCCTCCAAGGCTACCAAGCAAAGTTTCGTCCCCACTAAGGGCCAGGCCATCGTGCATGATGACCCGCTAGTTGCAAACGATCCATGGGCACGAGCAAGAAGCACTACCAGCACCGCCACCCACTCCACCCTCCAGCAGTGCTCCAGCAGCTTGAACAAACAGTCACCAAAGCAGTTGCTCAACAAGTGCAACAACAACAGTCGCAGGCCAGCAATCATCAGCAAGCGCACGAGCAGCGCCTTGGCATCATGGAGAAACAACTCCAGGAGCTGCAACAGCGGCAGTCCAAGGCCGAACAACTGGCCTCTCAGCATCAACACAGCATTGAACAACAGCAAGCTCAGGTTACAGCACAGCTTGGAGCATTGCAGCAACAAGTGACGCAGCAGTCCACCGCTCTCCAGCAGTCGGTGGAACAGCAGTTGACCAGTCAGATGCATCGACTTGAGAGCCTGTTCAAGGGGCGCTCCAGGTCGCGTGCCAGGAATGAGTGACTAGGTCGCACGGGGCAGCCAATTTTCAGGCTGCGCCCGTTGCCAGGGGTCGTGCACATGTGCCAGCTTCTCATTTTGGCCATGTGTTTCAGGCTTGGGGAAGCCCAGCATCCAGGGCCTCAATGGGCGTTAGGTGCACTTAATCCAACCGGATTAATGGGCCGCGAGAGCATTTTGAAGGACATCCCCGCAACAATTTGGGGAGTTTCCGAATCACGCCTCACGACTGACGGGACCACTCGGTTCAAGTCAGCCTTGAAGCAGACAAAATCAGGTTTCACTTACA